ATAATTAATATTTGGTTGTCGGTAAAATGATCATATTAGTAAAATAATTATGTCGGTAAATTGATCATGTCGGTAAAGTAATTGTAGGTAAAGTGGTTGTCGGTATAATGATCGTGTCGGTAAAATGATCGTCGGCAAAATGTTTGTCGATTAAATTAACGGGTCCCACAAAAAAATACTAACTTCTTAATTAATCATTTATTGTTAAGCATGTATAAATTAAATAATAAATAATTAAATAAAACTTTTTTAAATAATTTATCGCTACCATATATAAATTACAAAAAAATAAATATAACTATAATAATAACAAAAAAAAACAAAACCAAAAATATCTACATGATACAATATACATTTTCGAATTTTATAGAACCAAATCTAATATTATAACAACGACCAAATATTTTTAACGCATCGCTTCATTGGTAGCTATGTAAAACGAAACCAAACTAACCAAAATATACAAAATTCACAAAATTTTATATTAAACAATCAAAATCACATATATACCTCTTCTTTTTCTACAATAAATTACGAACCATGGAAAATATCAGATAAACTTAATAACTTATTAAATGAATTTCAAGAAAATATTTTATATGATCATCCATCCATACCATGCGCATACTGTTCAATATTAATAATGAACCAAACAACAAATTGGATTGATTACGATACAACTGAAGAATATACATTACCTATAGCCTTTCCAAATATTAAAATAGTAACTTGCTTAAACAATTGAGATAAAACAAAAATTGCTGTATGTTCTTCTTGTAAATCTAAAAAGACTCGTCGATATCCACCAATCCTGTCTTCAATACCAGAAGAAATAAATATTCCTATAATATATCGAAAAAACTTATCACCAATACATATGAATTGTACATTAGGTCGAACTTTAAGATTTAATCCATATACAAACTATCGACACTTAAAAAGATTCATTAACCTTTCCAAAAATAAATATGCACTTCAACTACATTCAGGTCTAATTGGAGCCTTTCTAAATCAAGAACAAGAAGATTCTCCTAACTGGTTCCATCCAACATTAATACCCGCAAGTCAGTGGCTAAAAGAAAATAATCCTATATTTAAAGAATATAATCATTTATCATCTTTTGAATCACCAAAACAAAATATAACAAATCAACCATATCCAATAGCTAGATTAACTAATATATATTCTTGGTCAACACAAAACTAACCTCCTTCATTAATCGTACCAAATGAAAACTTTCCTACTGAAATACATAATGAAGATTACAAATATCAACACTTAATAGCAGGTTTCTTAAAAATAGATAACAAAAATCTAGATTTACCTATACCTAATTATAATCCTGATATAGAATCCTTATTATTTCCTGATCTCTTTCCATTTGGACATTATCACTATGAAGATTCGAAAAAATTATTAAAATTTAAACAGAATGTCGATAGTTATGGCAAATATATTAAATTACGATTATTATGTCCTGATTCTAGATTCAGACTTCATTTGTATTGGCTACATTGGTCATATATTAACCTTGAAAAAAAACGCAACTACGAAATCAAAATAGAATACTAAATCAAAAAAATACTATTTGTAATTTACATCTAACTAGAGCAGACCTTATAGCAAAAAGTATTTATAATAACCAACCTATTATAAATCCAACAACAATACCATCATCCATCCGAACCTCTGAATCATTTTTTTAAAAAAAACAATATCAAGTAAATACAATGTTCCAAACTTATGGATTACCACAATCTTTTACACTATGACAATAGGAGAAGATAAATGGTTATATTTAAAAGAAATACTAAAAAACACTGATAATAAAGATCCATTACCAACTAATAGACCATTGCATGTATATTTTCACTATTATAATAGATTAACAAATATACGCAATAAACTTTGGAAAGATCCTGAAATTGTACAATGGGAAAAATATCTTCATTATTTTGAAAGAGATGAATTTCAAAATAGAGGAACTATACACACATATGGATTTGCTTATACTGAAAATAAATATCAGAATTAATTGAAAAAAATACAATACGCGCAGATATGTCAAATCAAATCACTGAATCAATACTTTATCAATTAGTTTCTATATACCAAATACACAAATGTAACAAAGAAAAATGCGGAGGTCCAGGAACAAATGTAAAAAAGGATTTTTCAACCTTTATCAATTTATACATATTGTAAACCAAATTCTAAAAGATATATCTACAAGATAATAAAAGAAATTGATCGTTGGATAGTTCCTTATCATCCTAAAATACTACTAATATGGCAAGAACACATAAATTTTTAATACATAATTACAATTGGATTTGGAAAATATATAACAAAATATGCAACTAAAGCTGAACCAACAGAAAATTTTGATATAAAAGAACAAGATTCTTATAAAAAGCATGTACAAGCAAGAAGATTAGGACTAATTTAACTTATGATACTACTATTACAATATCCAATAACAAGATCGTCAGCAGCAGTACAATTTCTTCCATCTGCACTATCAGAATTAAGAATTCGATCAGTTAAACTAATATATATGCAAATTAACAATGATGATAAAGAAGATGAAGATGAACACGATAAATCATATTTTGATGATGCAATTTATAAATATTATAATAGACTAAGCAATGAAATATTCAAAATATGACATACCCAGAATATTTTTAAAAATTATAATATTACAACTAAATCACCATCAATTAATTCAAAACTATACACAACCCAAGACCTAAAAAACCGATATATAACAAAAAGAAAAAAGCTATTGCTATTAAGATTTACAAATTATAAAGTTGATGATGAAGAATCTTTCTTCTTTCAACATCTAATAATGAAAATTCCTGTACGATCTCAAAGTGAACTACTTGGAAACTGCACAAGTTTTAGAAAAAGATTTTAAAACAAATATCCTATAAGATACTAACAAACCTTAAATAAACTATCAAATAGTTCATTAATCACGAAAATTAACTCTTAGTAGCATTTAAAAAAGCAATTAGATTAGTTTTAGAAGAATTAGATAAAAGTGAACTTTGGGATATAATAGCCCTGTTCAGTTCTAGATCGGATTGTTCAGATCGGAAATTTTGCCCCTAAATTATTGGCTAAAAAAACGATCAGTGATCAATCAATCCGATCTATAAAAATTGGTG